CTCGACATTCACGCAACCCTGTTACTAAAGCCCTTTGAGCCATGTAGTGGAAGAGTTTAAAAAAAAAAAAAAAAAAAGTGAATGCCGTGATTCAGAAGAAATGATTATCAAGCTGATGTAATTGTTCTGACCATAGGTAGACCTAAAGTAAGTCATTGCTTCTTTTTTAATTGTTTTCAGCTGTAATGGAGTGTGTCACTCAAACAACACCAGTCCTCACATTATTTGAAAAAGACGTTAATATGATAGTTTTTCTTTTTTTAATCTAACGGCTACCGTATTTTCACGACCGCACAGCGCACCGTATTAAAAGGCGAAGTGTAAATTACGGGTGCGATTGGACGCAGGCATGGTAAAACGTATGCTAGCTTAAATAATACGGTAGCATGCAAACATGCGCGTTAGCTTATGTTTTTAAAAAGACAGCGGGAGCAAAACTGAATTTGGTTATCCTTTATTAAAGAATTTAACAATATACTCACATTATTATTATTATGTTTTTGATCAATCCTCATTGTCAAATCTCTCAAATTCCTTATCTTCTGTAGCCAAATTGAACAGCTGGGCAAATTCAAAATCAAACTCGCCAGGTTCCCTCGCGTCATTGTCAGAGTCAGTCTCGCTCAACACGGTCGCAATGGCCAAGGATCGAAACACCAACCTTTCTCAACTGTTTAGCATCGCAGCAAACACAGTGACCGTTGCATTGATATGCAACGTAGTTCATATCAACTTAACCCACTGTAATTAATGTTGAAATTAAATTAGCATTTTATATATCTGCGCTCAATCTGTCTGGTGCTAAGTGCTACCTTCGAGTGTAAAAATACTGCTTACACAAGAGGCTACCATAACCACACAGCAGTAAACGTGTTTAGGCAGAGTTGTTGATTTTTCTTTTTTTTTTTAATTGGACATATGTTCACGATTCATTAAATCAGCACAAGATGGTGCATACAAATGTGTCTAAGAAAGGAGATAAACAGATTGCTGATAGCCCAGTCGTGAGTTTGGTCAAATGGGAATGTTGCCAGAATGAAACTTGATTTTAGAGTTTCCCCACATGCTTTAAAAGCACATTTTGGGATGGAGAACAGAATCATAACAGAAAATGCAGACCTTTGGGGATTTTTGCAACAAGAGGGCTGCTGTTGCAGATGTTGTGATTTGCAAATATGCGCTGTACTGAATCGGAGCACCCGCACCGGCGCATCACTTGCAGAGCAGCTAATCTATTTATTTCTGCATTTTCACAAGTGTGAGCTGACTCGGGTTTGATCTCAGACTAAAGTAATTATCAGTGTGCCACAGCCACACTCGCACAAACACACACACACACACACACACACACACCCCCATGCTGCACATATCACATCAAGGTGATAACTGGATGAAAGAAAAACGACTTACAGATGATAACTAACACACTTGAATACCTTACAACTCATCTACAAAGTACTTTTCCTTACCCCGTAGTTGTGGCTGGTCCTCCTTTTTGGGATAAATGTTGCAGAGTGATCTGCAGTTTTGTTGAAAAATCTCCAAATTGTCCTATCTATGGAAGGCTATGCATTTAACTCAGACGACTAATATAGAGTACAATATATGAGCTGGCTGATTTTGAATGTGTAATTAGCAGGCAAAATACTCATACTCATATACTAGTCAACATTTTTAAAATGTCAAAGAAAAAGCATCAATGACAATTGATCCTGGCCTGTCCTTTAGCAGTTGCTGGCTTCCTCAAAATTACTGGAGCGATGAATTTATTTTCTGTCGCAATTATACTTTTCCACTCCCACTAGCACTTCCAATTGCATCACTTACAATTATATTTTGTGCTTGCACCAGTCTCCCAAGGTTACCATGGTAAAAAACAAAAAACAAACAAAAAAAACATCAAAGCTACTTTGTACTTAATTAAAGGGTAAACCCCTTTCTCTACCACTTTTGCACCTGTTGCGACCAGCTCGAGCAATCTGTCACAGTGAGCAAACACGCAGTTTAGCTCTTTTCAATCTTCCCTAAATCAGGCCCATTATTACTCGCTCATCGTGAAATCCGGGCCTGTTCAGTTGAAGACAAAAACGACTATCCTGGATGAATGGCAACATGGCGATATGCAGGTTAATTGTACCGTCAACCGTTTAGTGGAAGAGCTTGAAACGGTTCTTCGTGACACAACATTGCTGGCTAAGATACATAAATAAAGATGCCTTATTAACGAATTAAGTGGAATGAGCTAACCACCCGCAGCATGGCTGGTGGTCTCTTGGCAATTACGGGCATATGCCCGCCTATAAGTACCACTTGCTGCAGTAGAGAAGAGGCGTTCAAGATTTTCAACAAAGAACCAAAAATTTTGCGTCAACGGCAGATGCTAATGACACTGAAAACTGCAGAGGCACAGCGGATCGTCTTTAAATGGCTGCCTTTAATGTTGTTTACGAAGTTTCAACACAGCTATTAACCACTCCAAGACTTTATCTTTATTTTGATGTTTCCACATGGGATTCGTAAGAATGTGAGAAAAACGTGCTTCAAGTTTACGCCGCGGAATAAAACCTAAGTGCCTGGATCTGTGACAGTAATGACATTCCTTAACAGGTGCCTACAGACAAAACTAACTTGAAATAAAGATGATAGATGTTGGGTGGAAGTGATTATAAACTGGGTGTGGAAAAAAAAAAGTTGTTTCATAGCACCGGACTGTAGAACAGGTGCGCGTTGTATTAACAGGGACAACTAGGAAAGTTGAAAGCAGTCAGGAGGTGTTCGAGTGGATAATAAACTAATCTTCTCAGACCAGCTGGAGCATTTGGCAGCTCACTCTGACAAGCTTCAGCTTCCCTCTTTAAAACATCTTGAACGATGATTTCGTTTCCTCGCAGCCTGAAATAATTCTGCCTTGGACAAATCCCAAACAGGCGTGCTTTCCTTCACGTCTGTTGAGCGTTTTAGATTTTTTTTTTTTGGGCACCATCAATTTTAAATCTGTTTTCATTCACTGAAAGACAAGAGATCGGCGTTTCGGCAAGTGATTTTGTTGAAATGTGCGTTCACATATAGGAGCTGTCAGTGATCCGTGATGGACAGAAATATGGTGCAGAATGTCGACGTTGTTGAGGCGATGAGACATTTTTGCTGATGGCAGAAAGTGGGGAAAAAGCTGCATAGCAACCTGATGCAATTCATACACGAGAATAATAGCTTTGTGCTCAAGTAAACAAGTTCAGTATCACGCTGGGTGAGTAAATGTGTGAGTAAAAGGAGGCAAGATTGTCATTATTTCAGTTATTGACTTTTTGTTGGCGGTGTGCTGTGAGATTTGTGAAGAGGTGCGACGGGGCACAGGATGTGGGAAGCTACTTAGATGTGTAAAAAAATAAAATAAAAATTCTCAGTAAAATCCTCCGATTTTTTTTTTTTTTTTTTTTGTTCTCCCATTTAAAGTGAAACCGAATGCATCAAGGAGTACGGTTTGCTATTAGTGCCTGAGCAGCTACCCCGCAGTGCACAGCAGGGAAAGCACTGGGTGCCTTGATTAATTGGAATGCTTAACTTGTCATTAAGGATGATTTATTTCATTAATTTGTAAGGTTGAAACGAATTTCGTAATGTGGCTCAGAATCAATTATTTGCCGCGGTGGCACAACAAAGATAACTGATGGGTTGAGGTTGAAGAATGAATACATACAGCAGTGATCACTACTTGATTAGTCAGGTTCAATTGTAGTCGAAGTGTGAAATGTGAAAGCGCGCCGCACAGCGCACGATCTTATTGTGCTCTCTTTTTAAAGCAGATGCTGTGTATTAGTGCGCAAAAAAGGGCCCTTGTCAGCGAGCATCGATTTTCACAATGCAACTATATAGCGTCTAAAGATTCCTGCGGGCACAGCATGTAATATGAGACAAGTTTTCTTTGACCAACAACAATCAATTTTGCTCAGCCGAGCTCTCCGGTCGGGATGGGGCCAGCCTAAGTACACGTCTATTTCCGGCACACACCCTCCCCGAACCTCAAATCTTAACAAAACCTTTCAGTGTAATCAAAAACATATCGGAATAGAGCCCAAACAATCTAATACCATCGAGATAAGTCAGTGTGACACCCGAACGGTGTCATCCATGGACAGGCTGTATGCATGGAGCGGCAGGCACAGCAGTAGGGCCAATAAATCAAAGAAATCACTCTGATCTTCAATTCCCTAGGAGGATGATCCACAGTGCCATTCCCAGTGCACATGCATCGGTTTTACAGATTGAACTTGGAGCAGGGGGCTCACTTGAAAAGAAGTCAGCGTTTTCTGCCTTTTAAAGGGGATAACAGCAACACAACAGATCATCCTCATGAAGGCAAACTGCTAAATTGACAATTACTTTGAAATGTATCGGACTCGGCTTGTTAAACAGAAAGCGAGGGACGCAATGGTTCACTCAGAGGCATATCTTTTTTTTACCATTTTATGAGATATTTCCAGTCATCACTTACTGTAATGAAAACAAATGAATGAGTGCTTTGATGAAGAGACTAAACCTCAGCTGAAGCCCAAGATAACTGCACTCATTCAACGATGGGAAGGTCCATCAAGCCGAGTGAATGCAAAAAAACAGTTTCAGCGCATAATAGTTACAGCGAGCAAGTATGAGCCGCAATTCCAATGGAGTTGGATCCACATTCCGGGTCCTAATTATGTGCCCAGTGCAAGCATAGCAGAGAGACTCTGCGCATGGGTGGAGTTTTCTTTACTTTGGTGTTTTGCAAGACGAGCGCAATTAGAAGTACATTTTGAAAGAACTGCAAGAACTCCACTTGCGGATGATCTATTTTTGTCAAGTGCGTCGGTTTGGACACCCCTGCATTAGATGATGTCGTGTACCTAACACTGCCTTTGAGCAAATATTTTCAAAAGCGGATGTCTGTGTTACATCCCCCTGCTTTTAATATTAGAATATTTAAGTGTCAGCGCAGCTTCAAGTGAGCTCGGGTCATTCCTTACCTGCAGCCACTGTGACTGGTCACTGCGTCCTGCAGTCCAAGCATTCACTTTGCCCTGCTTGTCCAAACGGGCTTTTCCAGGCTCCCAAGTGAACATATCCATGTTGAGCGTCCTGAAGATGGAGGAGGCTGTGATCTGGTAGTCCTGGACGTGACCGGACTTCATCCCCAATGGTTCCGAGCAACCTGAAGAAAGCAACAACATATTACTTCTGTTTTCTGATTGCCTAATTGTATATTACCCATTGCAAATACCAATTAAAGCGGGTAAGTGTGTGATCTGTTCACTCACCTGTCACCTCGCATCCAAGCAGTTCCATGCGCAAGGTACAGTGCCTTCTGCAGACTTGGGGATAAATGCGCACAAACTGGGCTTCAATGGGTGGGGTGAAGGAATTGGCCGATGGAGCGTTGTTGTCAACATTTCCTCGGAAAATCTGTCACAGGGGATGAAAACACATGTAGCGTATGGGGGTGACAAGGGGTGCTGGAAGAGATCAGTTTTACCATTATGTAGCAGTCTGGCACCAATGTCTCTGGTGTCTACTCAACACTGAGCAAATTGCTCTCCTTCAAGGTCAATGAGCTCCACGCGCAGCAAAAAGAGACAATTTCTCGCACGATTTGAGCCGGTAATTCATAAGAACAGTAGTGTATTTGGAATTAGTGCTCCTTTTATATAACTATTTCTTCTGATAGTTTGACAACATTCCCTTATCGAAGGACTCATGCACCGTGAAATGGTACATTTGCCTAACTTTCACATTCCCTGTCAAGCATTTTTAGTTGATGAGAAAATGTGCATGAAAACACGACTTGTTTTAGTTGCTCAGCAACTACAATGCCACATTATTTACAGATAGAGTGAAACCTTGCATATTTGCGGTTCGGCATTTGCCAATTTACCCATTTTTTGAGTGCCATCTTGTAAAATCTTGAAATTATGATGATGTTTTTTTCCCACGTGCACTTGAGATGTCCTACTTTAGTTGGTGGTCCTGGAATGCACCTTGTGCGAGGAAATAGTGACATTGACAGCACCTAATTTTGTTTAGATTTTGTAGTCCACTTTGCCATTAAAATTTGCATATAATCTTTAATGTTCATTATCGTGTTAAAATGCCCAAATGTGAACTGAATGACTTCGACTATCCGTGTAAATATATTTGTTTACTCATCTATGATGCTACATTCGTCGATGCTAGCATATTATTTTGGCTAGTATGCCAGCTAATACTGTTGACATGAAGGTAATTGAATGCGTGGCGTCCATGCTTTACTAGTTCTTCTTTGTGTTGTTCCAATCCACAGTGACTATCTCCAGTCTATGCCCAGACTTTTTGCCCAGAAGTCTTCATTTTAAAAGTTTTGGAGGTCAGGATTATCCGTAGCATGGCCCAACTGAGGACAGGGTTAGTGTGCTGTCAGCAAAGACAGAGCGCTTTGTGACCCATTTGGTTTCTCCTCATCCACAAATAGAATGGAAAAAAAAAATCATAAAAGTGAAGGGGGTAACAGGTAGCAAGATAAGCGCAGCGTGTGCGAGATAATTAAACAGCACTCTCAACTTGTCCTCTGCCCTGCCCTTGAGTGAGTTGAACAGCCTCTTACTGCCGTGCGTTCCTTCAATAACGGAGATACGGTCCTGTACATAGTTGTCGACAGTTGTTTTTGTGGATGTGTGTTTCTCACCATGTCTTCATCTTTGCCCTTGACTTTGTATGTTCTCCATGTCTTCCCGTCCTCGCTGTACGCCACTTTGTATGACTTGACATACTCTGGGCTTCCAATTCGCTTTGCACCCTGGGTAATTAGGCCCGTGACCCTCATTCGCCTCTGCAGGTTTATCTGTGGGAATCAGGGGGATATAAATAAAAAATGTTGCAGATACCAGAATTGTCGGGCTTCGCAGGGACTGTGCACGGATGCTCAGTGCACCAATTGAAGTCATAGAAATCAATTCAGCCTCTTGACTCTGGCTTGTCAGGGCCATCCATCTTTTTCAGAAAGTCTGTGATCAGATAGAACATTTAATCAATCCTCCCATTCCAAAGCCAATCTGCCATTTCTGTGTCGACTGTCAATACGGTCCCATGTAAATTACCAATGAAGAAGAGGTTAAGACAAGAAACTCAGTATACCGCAAGATCATTAACAGTGCATCACAGATGTATTGCACACATGGTTTTCTCTTTGGCATCCACGTTAAATAGCTTCTTTGTTTTCCCCTGAATTTTCTGAAAATGTCTAAATGATTTTCCTTTGATGTTCATGTTCCATGTATTGGATTTTACATTACAATTTTTTTTTAAAAGCATACATGCCATAATGTTACTAAATGCCCTCGCAGCTCTTTTCCACCCTTCCTGTTTTCTCTGTTCTTTGCATATTTATCACAAAGGTTTCAGTTCATCAAACCAATTTTAATATCACGCAGACACTATGCAAGGAAATACAAAATGCAGTTTCTAAATGCCAATTTAATTTCTTAATTCCCCGCCCAAAATCCAAAACTACTGACCCACTAGCCCTCTATTACCACTCACTTCGAATATTAATCAGCTAATACTTTGGAATTGCACTTAAAATTGGTCAATTTTGAACATCCCATTCACAAAGTATGAATCATATCCATAGCAATTGCCACTGAATTCAACTAGTTCCCAAATATAATTTGCTGCAAAAAGGTCCAATGTGTTCAAGCGAGATTGCCCGTTCAGTGAATGGAAAAAGTCGAAATGAGAGGAACCGCTCATTTTATTCTTTTATCACCAGCCTTGTCTACACTCAATATGATATTCTGAGCTACGACGGTTCTACTTCTTGCAGTTTTAACAGAGGACTCAAAAATATGGTTTCCCCGGCAAACTTAAAGCAACTTATAAAGTTAATTATATATAAGGACACTACTTAGAGCCGCATAGCTGCAGTGACCCACTCTTTCCCATTCAGGGCATTTCTTCTTTGACTTCCCCTCCACAGAGACGTATACTTCTTTCGCTAATTAGAGGCTCTGTTACTAAAAGGCCACCGCCGAGGTAATTGGGGTGATCCTTCACATTTTTAATGAGCGCTCAGTAACACACCTCTGACACTTCAGTGCTAATAGTGATGCATACATTTGTTTGAGTGAGGCATCTTTGGAAGCATCCTGCGGAGACCTTGGTCTGCAGGCTTGCATGCATGACCTAGTTTGAAAGAAACATTGGTCACTTTGAGGGTAGGATTCACCTAAATTTGTCTTTTTTTTGGGCATATTCTTCTATGTAACATCTGCTTGAGTGATTAAAAAAAATATATGTATATACTGGCAGTTGCCTACGGCGGTTGCCATTTGATGACTGAATGTTTTCCGAGATGAAGTAGGAAGGCTACAGTTGTTTGTTTCACGTCTTATGAAGTCTTTTTTTTTTCTTCATATACACGTATTTGTAAGCGACAGGTTTATACTGTGTTCCATGTTCATGGTTTTACATCTGTACGTGTTCATACTGTATTATACATCGTAGTTGGCGGCCATTTTTTTGGAGATGGACACAATGAACTACCGTTATAATGTAGCGATTCGTTATGTCCCTCGAGGTATGCTGTAGTGAGGTTCGACTGTCGTCATCCATCTATACAATATACGAATAATACTCATATTTATTGACCCACGATTTTGCCAAGTGTGTGTATATTCAACAAATGCAGCATCCTCAAATGTCCCGCATAGACTTGCGATGGACACAAGCCAGTGTAAACTGTAGATCTCAAGGGTTGCGTCAGGAAGGGCATCAGGATTCAAATGATTCTGATCATGAGCGTTCATCCGAAAAATTCCAAACCAAATCTGTCACCTCCAGCGCTGTTAACCTACAGGGCACCTGTGGAAATCAAAACGACTGTAGGTCGAAGACAGAGGAAAGGTAGAAAGAGACAAAAAGAGAAGAGGAGAGCCAAAAACCTAGACCATGAAAGTTGGGACTTTGAATGTTGGGGCGGCGTTCAAATTGTTTTACCGTGGTGCATGGTAGAGTTCGTTAGGAAGAGAAAGTGTTTGTTAGGAATGTCCTGGAAATTAGAGTGTCAGAGAGATGAGGCTGAAATTTGAAATCGAGAGTGTTATGCTTAAAATAATTAGTGGTTAAGCCCAGGGGGTGCACATAAGTGGTGTGCAATTGCGCATGTGGAGTGAAAAAAAGTCACATGCCCGACTGACTTGATTGCCTCAGTGCGAATTTGTGTTCCAAGCGTGACTGTCAGCAGGCCAGCCTGCAGTCAAAAAGTCAAAGTCAAGTCAGCAGCAGCAACGATTGCTTCCTAAGGCGAGCTTCAGCATGAATGAAACTTAAGGCATCAATATCCTGATACGGAATTACTGTTTGGCTTTTATTTTGAAGTTGGCATCGCGCTCAGGTGCATGGCGACAAGTCTCAGGTGCTGACGGCGGTGGCGGACGCGGGGACGCTGCAGACCGGACCGTCATCTCGTTGCGCCGCGGCTTCGACGGTCAATGGTGATGCGTGCCTAGAATTATATTGACTGTTTAACACCTTTTCAATGATGCATAGACATTCTCAGGTGCTTTGGAGTTTTTTGATTCTCTCAACAGTGCTGGTTGACACCATATTTTGCTGATATTGGTCAGAGCTGCAGTATATTTCCCCGGAGTGTTCACATGCATTTTTACGTGTGAGCTAACTGTAGAAAAGACTGCGTAGAGAAAAAAAAAAAAATGACACTCGCATTGCATAGATGTGTGAAGAGAAACAAGTGCATGAACCAACACAAACAAACACAGTGCATGCGAGCTTGTAGGCAAGGCTGTGATGTATTATTCAAAGTCTGTTGCTTTTGTGATTCATTTGTCGAGGTTCAGAGGAGAGAGCTCCACTGACTAGCTCCCAAAGACGCACACTGCATCAGAACAACACTTTCCAATAGCCGGAAGAATCAAATCCCTTCACAGACAAGGTTGTCATCTGTCAGTATTACCTGTGTCACATTCCAGACATCCAAATACAGTCTGCCAAATGGTTTTAGAATACAAAAGCAGGCCCAGAATATTCCCAAACCCGTGATCCAACGATACATGTCTGCTCATGTCCCAATTATCCGAACCCACATGTAGAAACACACAATGCCTACAGCATGCTGCTCAACATCCCACATGACATCATTAAAGCCAAACAAACTGCCTGAATGTTTGATGTCCCGTTCTCCTCAACCTCTGCATGTGCCAAGCACCTCATCTCTCGTTAATGTTGCCTTTGCCTCATGAGTTTCTTCGACAAATCCCTTTTTTTTGTTGTGTCATTTGTCTATAGATACCATTTCTGTTTCTCCATTGCACAGGCGGGTTGATAGAAGCACGACAAATTCTTTAGACAGTATCGTAGTTGTCTAGACAATAGGCTGAATGAAGCATGTCCTGCAAAAGAAAACGACCCACTTCTATGCCAAGGCATAAAAAAAAAAAAAAAAAAAAAAAGAAGATGAAGTAACATGAAAAAAAAGAAAAAATAATATTGCTCTGTTGGGCTAAAGATATCTCGCACAAATGCTTCATTTACACCACAGTACAGTCGCTGAGAGACGGTAGCTAGCGAAGCGTCCCGTTAGTTTACCACCGCGTAGATTTATGAGCTAAAAGCGGGAACTAAACGCTGTTGTAAATCTGTGCGGTGGCACAAGATGGAGACCAAAAGCCCAGCCTTCTGCTTTGACTGAATTTGCATATAGTTGTTTATATATCCAATTTACCTCAGGGGACGAGTAAAGTATCTAGCTAGCTAGCTAGCTATCAATCGAGGTATCGATCTGTCTAGCTATCTATCTTATAGCTGCTGCTCTATAATTATGCTACTGCGAGTCTGACAGCCTTTGAAAAAACAGAGAAGGGAGTTTGGTTTAGCACGGTGATATTCTTCCCGGCGAGGAACTGTCAGATGCTCAGCAATTGTGAGCAGCTACTAGCTGTCCGACCACAACTCTCGACTCTTCTTGCACAGTGAATGAAGGAAATGCCACGGGATCTTTTTGTGCTCGTCGATTTCAGGCTGGCGTTGAGGGGTATAACTCACAGTTTGGGTTTGTAATATATTCTTTGTGACACCGGTCCTATACCCTCTTCTGACACACCTTGTAAATTAGAATCCGAAACGACCACTGACCATTTTTTTTTTGATATATTTACACAGTTCATTTATGTCTTTGTCAGCTCAGCTTTTTTAGCTGTTTGGAGGTACCAAAGCCAACCCTGGTGAGTTTGTTGCCAGTGCTGAAATATACCACCCAGGTGACTCCAATAAAGGGATTTCCGCACATCAAAACGCAACAAGAATGTATACTTAAACAAACAAATAAGAAAACCCCTTTACAGCATTAGCGTTGCCATTTTAAAGAAACACGGCTTCCGCCAAGCACAGACAACCAAACTGCGTGTTGACTCATCTTTTAGTGGCCTTGACTCAGCTTGGTGTTGGGCCTTTCGAGTGTATTGTGTATTTACCTGAATCCACGGCCATCTGTCATTTTCAGCTGCAGTCCATGCGTTGACCAGACCCTTCTTGTTGAGGCGTGCAAAGTACGGGTACCACTTCTGCAAGCCAAATAAAGCCCGGTGGGTGGAGGATGCTGTTATCTGCTGGTTGGAGATTATGCCGCCTTCCATGCCCAGTGGTCCAGAGCATTCTGAACGAAGAACACACAGTGGAATATCGGTCATGCTGCAGCTCTCAAAGTACAGCTCGTACAACTGCAGCAAACAAAGTCATGTTGGTCTTAAAAGTACATCAGACAAAATTATATTTGTAAAAACACAATTTTCTGGACCTTACAACAGTGCAAATGGTGCAAAATCTCCACTCATGGGCACAATTACACTGCGCTTTCCGCTAGTCTTGCGCTGATCATGAAAATTGAGATCTTGGTTGTAATATGTCATCCTGACAAAATGCAACATTTTTCCACTTTGAGTTCAAAGTTTCACTGACAACTTTGTCATCAACAAGAGACAGTCAGACTTTGTCCCGAAGGAATTATCATTATTATGATTATTACTATTTCATGACTGAGAAAAATGTGGAGAAATCCTCTCACTTCCCGAATCACACACTGGGGTATCGAACACATTTGTATCCTCACGATAGAAAAATCCACATTTTCAAGTAAAAATAAAAATACAGCAAATTACCCTTGAAAAAAAAAGTGGGCTTCAAAAGCAACAATGTCTCTGAGCTGTCCTCAGTGGACAAAATGGAGACACACAGCAAGGAAGATCTGTGTGCTTTATCCAGTAAAAACTTTTTTTTTTTTTATTTTGATAATTCCAAAACGAGTAGTCCATCTCACCTCAGACGACATTTCTTGTGTGTGTGCGTGCGTGTGTGTGTGTGCGCGCGTGTGTGTGCGACACTCAATAGTTCCAGACGGATGAGAGAATGTCGGCGGGTTATGCGGGATTCCACTATTCATCTAATTTTCCAAGTCAATTCATTTGACCCTCTAAACAATCTGAGGGACTCACATTTCACTTCACTGTAGTGACTACAGGGTGTTTTTATAAAGCCTCTCAAAAAAAAAAAAAGGATGCAAAAACAGAAGTACATACCTCAAGGCAGTGATGAATTCAATGAAATACATTTGTAAATCAATAGCTAATTAAAGCAAAATTTGCTTTCAGCAATAAATTCCCCTTCAGAAATTACCGATCTGTCTCGAGATGGAACAAGCTCTCTCTCTCTCTCTCTCTCTCTCTCTCGCGAGAGAACACGCTCTCTCTCTCTCTCTCTCTCTCTCTCTCGCTCTCTCTCTCTCTCTCTCTCTCTCACACACACACACACACACACACACACACACACACACACAGTAATTCAGATTTATGATTGTGGGCTTCAGTGTTCCATTTGATAAATGTATGTTCAGGCGCACTAATTAGTTAATGGTTAGACCAGCCTTGATAAATATGTTAAAAGGACTGCACGTTGCCTCATGTAATTATGGCATCTGCCCACAAAAGGAAACTAAGTGGCTCATTCGCACTTATCATGCAGCATCAAAAGAACCTCAACTCACTCAACTCAAAACTGGACGCCAACTAATCACTCCTCATGAGTTTTTGGCACCTTGGCCTCCGGTTTACAGCGGACTGTTGATTTACCCGTCTGCTGCTGTCACTGGAGTAAAACACTCTGTGGAGCAGCGAAATGTCTGGCCAACAAGACCACACAGTCATCATACGGCCGCACGGGTACGAAGAGGATGGAAATAAGCTGGTTGTGGACGAGAATAGCGGTTAGCTCCACTAGCATTCCGATCCTTGATCGTCTTAAAATATTCATACTAGCGGGATTAAGGGACTGGCAGCGAGGAACGAGAGCAGTGCCGCCAAGTGAAGCATCATCTCTATCGTCAAAGTGTTCAAGCCAACACGGCCTGGGCACCTAATGTGTGATAAGAAGAACTCTATTCATTTATAACATTCACCGGCATCACAACACTTTGGTTGCTTTGCCACAGGGTGTTTGTGGTAACCACTCACTGGTGCAAGAAAGATTGAGCTGAAAAAAATATATATCAATGACATCATTAATGAACTTCAACTCGTCCTTCATCAAATTTTTAGTAGACCACAAACAATCTTTCGTCAATCAACCCCTAAAACCCATTCAACACGCCCGCCTGTTTTTTTTTTTTTGCCACCGTGTCATTTTCACAATTTCTCCAGCACCGTCTTCTATCCGTTTAAATGTTGGGCAGCCGACAAGCCGTCACCTAACAACATGCTGCTGCAAAGCCGTGGTCCTTCTCACCTTGCAGACATGAGTGGGCACTCTTAATGATGTGCCTGCCAGTCGTCTATCAGAGCAGCAGAGGCAGCCAGCCCCCGAGCCTTGGCCTGCTGGCCCCTGTGCATACATCAGCTCCGCGACAGCCCGCATCACTAACGGCGGCACCGCCACGCTGTGACAGCTGAATCCATCTCACGCAAACCCTACCTACAGCCTAAATAAATTAGCACAGCATTACTAATGAGCACGCAGCAGATGGGGAGATGAATAAAATAATAACCGCATCTACCAGGCAGCAGGTGTCAACGTGAGGCTGGACGGAAAACACCTGTATGTCTTACAGCGGGGGTGCCCAACCGTTTTTGACAGAAGATCTACTTTTCAAGCCAACGAACCTTCCGCGATCAACCGTTACCGCACACGCACGCATCTAGGTGCGCACGTGCGCATATGCACACATGCATGCCATGATGAGCAACAGCCATAACGGCCCCTAATATGAAGGAAACATGAAAATAAAGTAGATCCAAGATTTTGGGGGTTTGCGAAAAAGGAAATGCATGAACATCACCATCGTAGTTCACGCGTACCTTTTTAAAATGCTTCTTCCGGCGTTCCATATTCCAATTCTTTGCCAGTGCCATCAGTGAATTTTAGATGACAGAAAGTGAATGAGAATAATCACAAAAAATAGATATATCGCAATGGCTCTGATCGCAAGCCGCCATTACAGAAAGCTTTTTTTTTTTTTTTTTTAAATTCTTTTATTTTTTTTAATACTTAATGGCGAAAGTGAAACTGATAGGAATGGATGGATTGGGGTCCTGCCCTCTGCGGCCACACATACCGCACACACCAGAAACCGCCACTGCTTGCGTGTCATATTTATTGTACTTCAAACATGAAATATGTGATTTGGAAAAACCACAGAGATAGAAAAGTGAAATGTAACCCCTGGAACACAGCTCGATATATTCGAATACAGGAGAAGCATATCTTCTCCTCCAGACAAGCAGCATCTGCAAAGTAGACTGGGAATGCTTTCTGTGAACTGTCGACGCGCTGTGAGATAGAAAAGCAGATGAATACATTTGCGAATCACAGTGGAGCGGAAGCTCACGTTTCAGAGTCGCCGGGAACATTAATCCTAATCTGCTCCTACAGTGAGTCGGCAAAATCCTCAGAAGAAGCATAATAAACACACTAAGTTCCTTTTGAGCGACTGAGTATTTTGTAAAAAGAGAAAGCCACTTGTGATAAGACAGAAGCACTCTCTCGCTTTCTCTTTCATTCTCTGCACAGCCAAGAGGAGCATTTTAGCAAAAAAAAAAAAAAAAAAAAAAAAAAAAAACAAATTGGTTGTGAGGCACCAGCATTGTAATGTTTGAACATATTGTCATGACTTTATGCTTGGGGGTTTTATGTGAGTTTTTTTTTTTTTTTTTAATAAACATTTTGTGTTTCGATGTAATATATATATATATATTTTTTTTGGTATTAAAATAATTCATTACGACATGAACAAAACCGAAATGAAAGAACCTGAGCGTGTTATGTGGTCACCGCCGCAATTAGCGGCAACATCAGATGTGCGGTGTGAAGCAGTTGGATTAAAAAAAAAAAAAAAAAGCATTTCAAGATGAAGAACAAAAGCATGTACATACTATGTTGACAGTTCCGCCCCATGTACTCCCCGGGGCATTCGCAGGAGTAGTTTGCAACGAGGTCGGTGCAAAGGCCCCCGTTCTTGCATGGTTCTCTTTCACATTCATTAATATCTGAAAACACAAACAAACACAACCACAGATTAGCAGGAATGGCATTTACATTTAAATTAGAACTCATGAAAACTCCTGCTGTAGATATGCAAATTGAGTATTGTGGACAGAACCATGGGTAGTAGGTTTGAATTTCAAAAATACTGTCGTGAAAATGAAGAATGGGATCCTAAAAAATAAGAAATTGTGATTCTGAATGCTTATTTCGGAGACATTTCCCAATATTTTCTTGTATGTTTGTTTTGCCTTTAATTATGCCTAAATAAGTGTCAAACAAATTCTTGGTCAGTAATTAAAAAAAAAAAAAAGGAAGGAAGGGAGACAAAGAACAGCTTTTTAGTGTACCATTATGTTCAATCCGATTTAGCAGACCCTTGAATTTGTTGAATTAATTTAAATTCATTTTGAGGTCATCAGTAGTCACTGTTTCCCATTTCATTTGATTCATGGATGTCGTTTGTGTGACTTTACAGAAAAAAAAAAAACAGTTTCTAACTTTAGAAATAAACATGTAGTCCAGGCACTGACAAAATTTGAGTCGTTTCAAATTTTAACACTTTTAAATCAATGGATTTACACACTTGAGCCCATACTTGAAATAAACACCAGTGTTAGTGTTTTCACCTTTGTGTAAAAAAAGCACATTTGTAGTGACTTTTGCTCAAGGTACAGCTCACAAGATACACGACAATACCGAGACCCCGTGTATTGTTAACAGATGTGTGCTGTATTGATTTTACTCAGGCCTTAGTCCTTGGTAGGTAGAAGAAAAATGAAAACGGCGCCCCCACACACACGGCGACAGAATTATTTCACCACAGCACTGCGCAACACTGTAGTTACTCCTTGAAGTTCATAACACGCGTTATTTTTTTATCACTCGGTTCAAATGCGGAGGTTATAGGCAAGCCAATAAAATAGCCTGGAGCCCAACACACGACAGAAGAAAGCAGAGTGAGAGCACTTGTAGCATTTACCTCCATTTTATGAGCAGCCGTAAGCCCCCCAAGGAGATCAGGAGCAGGACTTCACTACCTCAAAATCATAAGGGGGTGGGGGTTGGTGGTAGGGGGGGGGGGGGGATTGCCTCAAGGAATGTAGTAAAAGTAGTGAATGAAAAGGAGACGGTGAAAGAGTGACAGAATGACAGACCGAGCAGGAATCGAGACAGATGTAATGGAAGGGAAAGACGCTCACCCAGTGATCGGCTAAATGAACCAGTTCAGGAGACGTGCGTGTGTTTGAATGTGCTCTCTTCTATTGTCTTGTACGATCAAATAAAATGTAAAAAATAAAAATAAAAAATCCTAATAATAATACCACCAATCCCAGAACATGCTGAAAGCTTTCAGCAATGAACTGAGTTAAAAATATCCAGTCATTTATTTATACATTCATTCTTTGTGACAAACAAATTTATGTTCCAGAACCGCCAGAGACAGATTAAAATCGACTAAGTAAAAATCATATATCTATTTTTTCTCTATATATTTTTAATTAGGGTTATGCATTATAACCAAGGCAAAATATGCATGTGAGGTGCAGGTATCGTTTTAGTCCATTTGGGTTAACCATCCTATACTGTTGTCGCCGATGGTGTCGTGGTCCACACGCCGGACTTGTGTGTGGGCAGAGTGGAAACGGTTCCCATTCAGTTACGAATGTGGGTGTGAATGGTCGTTTGTCTCTATATGTGCCCTGCGACTGTCTGGCGACCAGTTCATAGTGTAGTCTGCCTTCCGCCCGAAGTCAGCTGGGATAGGCTCCAGCAACTGCCCGCAACCCTGTTCATGATAAGCGGTGTTGAAAATGGATGGATGGATGTTCTACACTGTAGTATCTGTGAATTTGAATGTGTGTGGATTTAATAGTTGGGGCCTGGTCCGTTGAGTGATGTGGAAATCAGAAAATTATAGGATGGTTATCTGCTGTTAGCTCAGGTTAAGCAGTCTGTGTGTTGAGTCTCTGCATCACTTGTGGCCATAGCAGCAAGCGTATGAATATGCTTTATGTTTATTTTGTTCCCATTTATTAAAAAAGAATGCAAGGGCATGACAACACATTCCTACTAGCGGTGATAAACCTGATTAAATGAGCTAGAGTAACTGTGCTGGCTCGTAGTCATGCTGTTCTGTAAGCTAGTTCTCCAATGTGGGTGACACATTGCACTTTATCTTCCTTTATAAGTGTGAAATGATCCCAAAACGATTCGCCATTCTCTGTCTTTTACCCACTTTTTCCTCCTCGCTCACGCTTTATTATTCGTGAGTCAGCAGTAAGACCAGTCAGTGTAAAAAGTGAAACGCAATACGATGCGGGACAACCGTACGCTTTGGTCAAGGGTATGAGTGAGGGAAAAACAAATAGAACAGCTGCTCTCCTGGTCTGTGGTCCGACTCTAAAGGAGCTCTCATCAGTTCACTGGAATGTCTCTTTCTTTGCCTCTCCTCCTATTATTCTCTGGAAAGTGTCTCCGTTGGACAATAATGAGAGCAATGAATAGTGCTATATGTCAGGAACCGAGGCTGGCCGTGAGCGTAAATTGGCTGTGGTGTGTCCAGGGAGCAGGAACATGCCCGAAGCTCTGCAACGGTATGGGTCAGTGGTGACCTTTCTACTGGGCTGCAATGACCTCACCGGTGCCTGCCTGCAGCTGCTGCGGACACATGGCCAGAGTAAAACTGTGTTCCAGTTCATCCAGGTCACGGTAGAAGAGTACTTTAGATTAGCATATAGATGGAATTGCGAGACCAAACAAAGTAAAACAATGCATGGCTTTTATTGAAGAGAAAACAAGTCAAACATTTTAAGTTTCCATTTGAGATACATTGAATTCATAACATGTGGGTGCGGTTTTGTTTATGTATAAACCATGTCTACAAAAATACATTTGATCCCAACATAAGCTTTTTTCCGGGGGGGGGGGGGGGGGGGGGGGGATCCTCAAAAATTCGTACAATTTTAGTTCACCAAATCTACCACTAGATTAACGACAGAAAATCCAATTTTTTAACATTTCTTCCATTCATTGTTTCCCAGAAAGGTAAAAACTGACCCTATGTTGGAAGAGCGTCTTCAGATAAAGTCCATAACGCTGGCTACGTGTCTCCATTGTGAGACGAATGAATCTTATCTTATCTTATCTTATCTTATCTTAAGTTGAGGCCACCCGTAGCAAGCCACTTCTCAGTTTCATAAAAGAAGCAAGCGGATCCTTCTTGTCCTTCAGGCTCGGAAGGTCGCTGGGACCTCTTTGTTCGGTGATTGTCATGAATGAGACAGACAATATAATTAGCCGCTGACCCTGAATACTCAAAACCTTATTTGAAGTAATCATCCCGCTCCCTTACAGTGTGAGAATTTAGCCTGGAAAAAGCCTCCCTGCTGATGTGCTTCACGGTGGTCCAGCAGTCAGACGCTGGATTCGATACAGAAAAAAGCTTGCGATTCTCTTGATAACAGCATGAATTCATTAAGGGGGTGATATAAAAAACAGACGCCCAATGACTTTACTCGGTGAACTCCATGTACTCTATATCATCGGTTTAATTAGCAAAATGACAGAAGACTTTATTAAAGACGTTTTAAGAGGATAATTTATATGTTGATGTCTTGGACTGAAGGTCATTTAATATTTTTATATGGAGCCGGCATAAAAGGCATAATATGATTTTTGCATTGGGTGAGTGAGACTTCATTAAAGCTTTCACTCTGGTAAGTACCTGAATAACAGACGGTGATGGAAAAGCTAAACAACACAAATATGTCCCGGGTTGCTCATAACGCAGCTTCTTTTCTGTCCGCAATTGATGAATATGCATATATCATTTAATACTTTCCAGAGAGGTGATTTCTTTGCTCCATTTTTTTTTTTTTTTTTAGCAATATTGTGCTGACGTAAAAGATCTGCTCAGACTTCAGTCAAATGAAAGAGCACCTTTTGCTCAGAACAGTGCTCGAGGGTGGAATCTTTTTTTTTTTTTTCACCTCCATCTAACGTTAAAGTGATTTCATTCTTTTTGTCTGCAGCTTAGTTTTCACATGCAAAACAAAACTGCACCGAAACTAGTATGTTTTGTACCACGCCAAACACACTGATGACAGACACTTCGACAGTGACGCTCGACCGTAACATATGGCGCCAAAGTCTAACGTGCCATATTTTTACAAGACGATGTGTAGAAAGAAGTGTCTGTCACCATTACGTGAGTGTCATGCAACGGCAGTGACAATCACCGAATCAGGAGAAAAAGAGCAACATTTTGGAGTGGGCAATATCATGTCGTTGGAATGAACGAGGGAATTACAAACGCTTGAAAATCTTTTTTTCTGAAAGGAAAATATTTGTCAAAAGGAGACATCTCATTCTGGAGTCATATCCGTCCTCAGACTTAAAGGGGGCACAGAAAAAGCATTTGGGGGGGGGGGATTATTATTATTATTGGCCTTGAGACAGTTTTTACTTTGCTCCATATATTTTATGCTGACCATACTCTGCGCGGCACTTGTCACAGTCTGCAAATATTACCACGGACAACGTTCACAGTAAATACGCATCACTCAATTTTATTAATTGCTGATGTTATGGCTAATAGGGTGGCTACATCCAATTTGGCGAAGGCGCTGACATATTGCCGCTTCAAACGGATGTCTGTGGCGGAAAGGAACAGACAAAAGGAGTTGAAAATCAATCTCATATTTTAGATGTCCAAAGGGTTTGTGGCTCCCGTGGTTTCTTTGATGAAACGGGTTCAAATGGCTCTTTGGTTGGAGACTCCATGTGCCCCCCGCCTTCCGCCATACTTGTGATTGTGTAAGGGACAGTCTGAATGAGTAGGTCATGAAAACTAAATGTGGCCTCGTGTCCAACAACTGCAATCAATTAATTGTCAATTTTATCAGACCTATACGGCACATTTCTAAAAATGTCTTGACGGTGAAAAGAAAAATGAGTCCGTGTTTAGGTCAACTGATTTTCATTGTACTAATTTGCAGGCAAA